ATTACATAATTTAAAAATAAATCTAAAACAAACAGTCATACATACACACACACACAAATGCATTAAGAAGGACCCAGGAAAAGCAGCGAGGGTCCCCACTCCTATCAGGCCATCTGCTTAGAAACCTTAAGACAAGTTAGGTCTTTATTCAGTTTCAAGGTCAGAACAAACAATGCCCTCCCTGGAAAACCAGAACAAATCGCCTCCCCAAACCCTAGTTTAGGAAGCAGGACATACAATGTAACCAAAAAGCTGGCCTCCCTCCCGCTCTGGGGAAGGCGGGACCCGGAGGAAAGGTTAACAGAGATTCTCTGCCCGCTTCACAGCCTGCATTTCTTCTGCCTCTAACAGCGAAGACCCCCAACTGTGCAGGTCCAGTTTCTGACCTTATTCAAATCTGGATTCTTGACACCCACAGCGCATGTTAGGGCTCCGCTTGGATCTGGCATAACTCAAACCCCAGATCAATGCAGATGATCCATCAGGTCGAAAGAGCAGACTTGGGAGCTGACCTGCGATCCTAAAGGGACGTTGTACAGTCCATTTAAAGGATGAAACCGTAAACATCTGTGCCAAGTTACTTTCCACCAATCAGGATAGGAGCTGGTTCCTGGGCCTGGGAATGTGAACTTAGTTTAATCCCGCCAGCAAGGTGGAGAAATTGTCCCTGAGGTGTCTGGACCCAGACAACCCTCTCATTACAACAGAAACTGTTCAGCTGTTGGGGAGACCCTGGCAACCCTGGGGCCTAGGACCCCAGGATTATTTTCCCCCATGATTAAGTGAAAACAAAATGGCAGTGCTTAGAACACACACGCCACATGGAACCATTTAGTGAACGCTGAACGAGCGACACCTTTCTCTTGTGGCAATATTACGGAAATGTCTCTTACATCTAAGACTGGAACTTCCCCCAGAACTCAGAGCCGGAGTTAACCATACGCCTTGAGATCAGGTGAGACTTCAAACTGTTATCCTGCTGCACACCCAGCCTGTTTAGCCTGCCGTTACTAGAGCACTGTGACAGTTGCCCTCAATTGCCTCGAATTTCCCATACAACCAATTTTTACAACCTGAGTTACTGTGTAACTCTAATCCTAAATGATGTGCTTCATTGGAGCCTCCCGGCCCAGGGAACAACACATATGCATCATTGGCTGAAAGCAATAAAAGCAGAGGTTGGAAGCAATCTTACAAAATGAATGTGTGTCATAAATGTTGAACACAACACTTGTATATTGCTTGATAAAGAATGACACTTGTGGGCTGGAGAGATGGCTCAGCGGTTAAGAGCACTGACTGCTCTTTCCAGAGGTCCTGAGTTCAATTCCCAGCAACCACACGGTGGCTCACAACCATCTATAGTGAGGTCTAGTGCCCTCTTCTGGCGTGCAGGTGTACATGCAGGCAGAACACTATATACATAATAAATAAATCTGAAAAAAAAAAAAAGAATGACACTTGTAATACTGGAGGTTGGGTCTGATGCAGATAGGGTCTCTTTTGCAGGTTCTTAGTCTCAGAGGTAAAAGAACTTAAAAACAGCCATCTGTGGTGGCACACACCCTTAACCCAGCACTCCAGAGGCAGAGGCAGGTGCATCTGTGACTTTGAGGCCAGCCTGGGCTACAGAGTGAGTTTCAGGAGATCCAGAGATATGCAGAAAGACTCTGTCTCAAGGCAGCAAACAAAGGATTAAAAACTGGATTCAGAAGGAAAGTGGAGGTACATTTTACTTATTAGGGTTTAAGTCCTGCTCTCCCCACTTTCTTCCCTTTTATATGGTATTTTAGTTTATTTTTAAATGGATAGCTTTTAAATTTAAAAATTATTTACTTTTATTTGTGTGTATATTTGTGTGCCTGCTTGTATATGCAGCATGTGTGTTCTGCACTCTCAAAGGGCAAAAGAGGCCGTTGGAGCCCCAGGAGCTGCAGCTACAGGCAGGTGTGAACACCCAGCATGGTGCTAGGGCCTCTGCAAAAGCTGCAAGAGCTCTTAACGGAAGAGCCAGCTCTCCAACCCCGTGTGTAGCATTTTAGGTCCTAAATAGTCCAGCTGTCCAGTGCTTCACTACATGAATCTGTCTGTCTGTCGTCGGTCTATCCATCTATCTATTTACAGTTTTGCTCTGTAGCTCAGGCTGGCCTCAAACTCACAAACTCCTGTCTCAGCCTCCCAACTGTTGGGATTACAGACATGCCACATTATTCCTTATGTTCACACTTTCTCCGTTTAACTTGGTTGTTTGAGACAAGGTCTCACTATGTAGCTCTGCTGGCCTGTAACTTGTTATGTAGACCAGGCTAGCCTCAAACTTACAGATGCCTGCCTCTGCCTCAGCACCAAGTAAGCACGGTGATTTCCCTGGCTACCTGGGATTACCTGGCTACCTCTCTCTGGACTTTCTGTTTCCTGTCTTTCTGTCACTTCATGGCTCAGGACCGTACTGTTTAAATTAGAAATCCTTTACGGTATGTCTTAGTAGTTGGCAGATTTGGATTTATCTGATAGTTTTCTTTTTTCAGATTCCTGGCTGTTATTGCCTGTTTATTCACCTATGGTCAATTTAGTGACAATTTGCAATTTAGGAAAAAAAAACCTATTTCACTGTTTTTACTAGACTTATACTCTGCATGTAAATTAGTGTGTGTGTGGGGGGGAGACAGACAGATTTATTGTATTGAGTCATCTTTTACAGGAACAAAAGACAGTTCTTTACTTGATTGGAGGCTGGAGGTGGGAATTGCATCTCCTGGAACTAGAGTTATAGATGTCCCTTGTAAGACTCTGTTAAAGGTTTCTGTAAGGTATCCCGTTCCTTCCCTGTGTGACACTTTCTGTGCTGTTCAATACAGACAGACGAAACCCTTTGTTAGGGACGGGCACACGCAGTCACTCACAGGACAGTCCAGGAGACAGAGGACAGAAGACACAGGGAGAGTGGAGCAGAGAATGCAAAGCTTGGTTAAGTTCCACCAGGAAGACAATGTGCTCTGAGTTCTTCCCCAGGTGGGACCCAGCATTGCAGGTGACCCCGGGAGTGTACCCATTGATGCCTTCCAGCTGACTGCGTCTTCTGTACATAGCTCAATCACTTTTGGTCAAGTCCGCTTCCTGGCTGGATCTAGTGGCATGGCCTGTAATCCCAGAACTCGAGAGGTGGAGGCAGGAAAATGAGGACCTGAAGGAGACCCCTCTGCCACAGAGGGAGTTAGAGGCCAGCCTGGGTTGCCTGGCTCCCTGTCTCAAACAAAACAAAACAGCGTGAGTGCGAGAGGGAAGAGAACTAAGACTTGTTAAAAATTAATTCCAAAATTTTATTACATTTATTTTACTTATTTATTTCTTACTTACATATATTTGATTTTTATGAGTATGACTGTATTGCCTGCCGGTAGATAAGTGTACCACGTGTGTGCCTACTGCCTGTTGAAGCCAGAAAAGGGTGTTGGATGCCCTGGAACAGTTGCTGTTTGTGGCTGGTTATATGAGAGCTGGAACGGAGCCCGGTTCTCTGCAAGAGCAGCAACATGCTTTCAACTGCTGGGAGAGCAATCTAGCTTTTATGTATTGACTCTGAGGCAGGGCTTCTCTGCGTAGCCTTGTTATGTCCTGGAACTCACTCTGTGGACCAGGATAGGCTAGAAGTCATGGAGATCCAACTGTGCCTCCTGAGTACTGGGGTTAACGTTGTGCATCCCCACTCTTGGCCAGTTTACTGATTTCTTTTGGGAGAAAGGGCACAAATGTAATGGCGTGTGTGGAGGTCAGAGTGCAGCTTGGTTGGTTCTCTTCTCCCACCCGGGGGTCCTGGAGAGTCAACTCAGATCGTCGGCTTGACAGTCAGTGCCTTCACCTCCTGAACCCCTCTCTTGCCAGCCCAAGCTTGTGGCCTGCACCCATGCTCTGCACAGCGTTGGGGAATAATTCCAGGGGGCCTTTGCTGAGACATTGAAAGCAGCAGTCCACCTCATAAATAAGATAAACCAGGAGTCAGACAGGTTAAGGATCCTCCGATCCCATGAGCAGATGAGGGGAAGTGCTCAGACGTCCAGCTCTGTCTGTCCACTTCATGTCCTTCCTTTTTTCCTTCACGCAGCCTCGGCAAGTCTCTTGAACATAGCTGAGGGAAACAACGGAAGGAACAGACAGGGCTAAAGAAGCCTAGTCAGGGAACAGGTCTCACAAGATGCCCGATAGCAGCTACATAATGGAAGGGTGCAATTTTGATTTTTCTTCTATTGCTGTGAAGAGACACCATGACCCAGGTCAGTTATAGAAGCAAACATTGAATTGGGGCTTGCTTACAGCTTCAGAGGGCTAGTCACTTACCATCATGGCGGGGAGCGTGGTGGCAGGCAGGCAGATGTGGCGGGGAGAACCTCATCTACAAGCAGAGAGACAGCCTTGGGCTTTTGAAATCTCAAGACCCACCTCCAGGGACAAACCTCCTACAAGGCCACACCTCCTAATCCTTCCCAAACAGTTCCACCAAATAGGGACCGAGCCTAGAAGGGCCATTCTCATTCAAACCATCATAGATGCCTTCAACAGACTCACATAAAAGTAGAAAAACAGGCTGGGGAGACGGCTCAGGTGGTAAAGTGACTGCTGCGCAAACGTGAGGACGTGAGTTCGGGTCCCAGCACCCACAGGCACCAGCCTGTAACCCAAAGCTGAGAGGCAGAGGATCCCTGGGGCTCGGTTGGCCACATAGTCTCGCCGAGTCAGTGAGCCTCAGCTTCAGTAAGAAACTCTGTCTCAAAAAGTGAGGCAGAGAACGAAAAAGAAGCTAAAAGTCGGCAGCGGTGGGGCCGCAGGTGCGCGTCTGTCTGTATGTGTTGCCGTGTTTTTGTTTCTCTAACATGCATGCTTAGGAGTCAAACCGAGGTGCTCACGTTTGCAGAGTAAGCACTATCATCCACGGAGCCGTCTCCCCAGCCCACTGGTGACAAATCTGGCCGGTTTGTAAACCATCAAGAGTTCTCTGTCTTCAGGTATCAGTCTATAAAGATCAACGAAGAACGTTCCCAGGAGATGGTACCAGAGGCCGCACACCACCAACCCATCGTGGCACTGCCACCCGGCATTCAAGAGAAGGGGACTACCTCGGTCAGGAGAGAGGGGCTGGGCCTGCAGAGTCAGGACAGAGAGGCAGCCAGAGCGGGAGAGGCAAAGAGGGAGTTGAAGACCGTGAGGACAGCATCAAGGGAGCATCAGAGCAAGTCGGAGCCTACAGCAAAGATGCTTGCTCCAGAAGGGAGCAGCAAAAGAGCGACAGTTACAGGAGCGCTGCCAACAGGGCTGAGAAAGAGACCACCGGCCACAGGAGCTGTCCCAGCCAAGGAGAAGGCGGCCCAGGCCCCCCCTTCCCGAGCTTCTTTACCGGCCACAGGAGCTGTCCCAGCCAGGGAGAAGGCGGCCCAGGCCCCCCGTTCCCCTGCTTCTTTCCCACACCCCACCACAAAAAGAAGCCAAAGGCTGAAGGCCTCTGACTTCAAGTCTGAGCCTCGGTGGGATTTTGAGGAAGAATATAGCTTGGATGGGGGAGACCTGCAGACGGTGAGTGGACCTCACTTCCTCATGATTCCGCACCCCACCCGAGCCCCAAGCAGCCCCTCCCGCCAGGCTCGGCTTTCAGTCTCTACCTTGCTCCACTCTGTGCTCAGCCTGACGCTGCTATTGGCCCATTCTTCCTTCCTATGACAGCAGAGTCGGGGAGGAGAAAACAGGTCCAGAATCAAGGTCTGGACAAGTCAGAAGGGTGTGGGTGGGAAGGGGTTTGCCTGGGAACCCTGAAGACATCCTGGGGGTGAGAGGATCGGCAATCAGTGGAGAGAGAGAAGAGTGGCTGGCTCTGGGGTGTGGGACATGAATCTTTATTCTGTGGTTGTGGGACTAACGGGCAAGAAGACGCAACCTTGTGCTCAGCTACCCGACTCCCAGGGACACTGCCGTCCTTGGGAAGCCCACACTAGAACCTTCACTCTCTTCCAGGCTCAGGCAAATCTGCAAGTACTCAACCCCATGCTGCCTCCTAATCTTTCTCACCCCTGCCGGGAGGGCAGTATTAAAAACCTGTTTGTGTGTATACACAAACAGGATCCTAGTCCCAACAGTCCAGCGGACACACCACCTGTGCCTAGGATGCTGAGGGGGCCCGTTTCCTGGGACAGAGGTGGGCAGTGGAGAGTTAGACCCTGGGCCCAGGGTGAAAGACAGATTAGGGGCAGGAGCTTTCAAAATGCAATGCCCAGCCCAGCCCCTGGCTGGTGGCTCTGCTGGGCCATTCCCTTGCCTGACTTCCCATGTCCTGCACACAGACCTGCCCTGACTCTTTGAAGGTCAGGGCCTCCAAGTCACCATGGCTACAGAATATCTTTCTGCCCAACATCACTCTCTTCCTGGACTCGGAACACTTCAGCCAGAGTGAGTGGGACCGCCTAGAGCACTTCGGGCCGCCCTTCGGCTTCATGGAGCTCAACCAGTCCTGTGAGTCCTCCCTTGGGGCAGAGGGTGGCAAGCCGGCTGCCTGCCTTGAGTCTGCCTCCTCCCGGCGCTCTGACTGGAGCCCTGCTTTGTTCCAGTGGTCCAGAAGGTCGTGAGCCGATTCCCGAGGGTACCCCATCAGCAGCTGCTCCTGGCCAGCCTTAACCCCGGGAAGCCCAGGTGCATAACCTGTGCCGTGGTGGGCAACGGGGGCATCCTGAACGACTCACACGTGGGCCAGGACATCGACAGCCACGACTACGTTTTTCGGTATGCTCTTCCTCTCCAGCCCCTCGCCCGTAAGCGTGGATAAAGGGGTGTGTAGACAGCTCCTGCGTCTCCCGCTTTGTCCTCTCCTACCCGCTTCCACACATTTTCCTCCATCCACAGCTAGTTTGATCTTTCTACACAGACTGAGCGGAGCGGTTACTAAAGGATACGAACGGGATGTGGGGACCCGGACATCCTTCTACGGCTTCACGGCCTTCTCCCTGGTCCAGTCTATCCTCACATTGGGTCATCAAGGTTTCCAGCACGTGCCTCTGGGGAAGGTGAGACCAGAGGACCAGGCCTGGCCACATAGCCTCTGGACGCAGGAGTCACAGGGGAGAGATGTGAGCGCCGTCTGTGGGGATGGAACCTGGGTCATCACCAGCTCTGTCCATTTGGAGGCAAGAGCAGCAGGGACAGCCCCTCAGGCTGAGGGAGCGCCAGTGGGCAGTCAGGAGTCAGAGCCGGCCCGTCCAGCCCGGCCTCCTCGAGGCAAAACTCCTGGACCACTTGCTGTTCTTGTCTTCAGGACGTCCGATACCTGCACTTCCTGGAAGGCACGCGGGACTATGAGTGGCTGGAAGCGATGTTTCTGAATCAGACCATGGCAAAAACCAAACTCTCCTGGTTCAGGTACCCACTTCCCTCCTCCTGCCCCCGAAGCCCAGGCCAGACTGAGCAGTGAGTGGCTGATTTCAAGAGGGTTAGAAAGGTGGGACTGCCTCTGTGCCGCCTGGAGTAGGGACAGCGGTCATGCCATGACCCTGACGTGGCCCCCAGAAGGCCCCGTAAGAAAACGGGGCCTGAGGGATCCATCTCTGGCCACAGGCACAGGCCCCAGGAAGCCTTTCGGGACGCCCTGGACTTGAATAGATACTTGCTGCTCCACCCAGACTTTCTCCGCTACATGAAGAACAGGTGAGGGTAGAGAGTCCACAGAGGGGCCGGGGCCCTCTTCTCCTCCCTGGCTCCTGACAGTTGGGGGATCTGGGTATTCTGGGCAGGTTTCTGAGGTCAAAGACGCTGGACACTGTGCACTGGAGAATATACCGCCCCACCACTGGCGCCCTCCTGCTGCTTACGGCCCTTCATCTCTGTGACAAGGTAAGGCTGCAAACCTCCGCTGGGGACAGGAACTGGGCGTGTGCTCCCAAGGGACCTGCATCCAGACTCCAAGGGACAGGACCAGGATAAAGGGAGGGACAGACTGCCCAGGAGAGGAAGCCCCAGGAGACAGCCACTACAGCCCAGTTCCTGCTCCAATCTTTATGCAGGTGAGTGCCTATGGCTTCATCACCCAGGGCCACGAGCGCTTCTCTGATCACTACTATGACAAAACGTGGAAAAAGCTCATCTTTTACATAAACCATGACTTCAAGTTAGAGAGAACGGTCTGGAAGCAGCTGCATGACGAAGGTATCATCTGGCTGTACCAGCGCCCACAAAGTCCCAAAGCA